CTAATCATTTATAAAAAATAGTCGTTAGTTGCAGCCTTAGTGTATAGTCCTCACACAAGAGTGATCCCCCCCGCCCCCCAATCTTAGCAACCTGGGATGCTCTGGCCTGAAACAGGGCAGCAGACACCCTGTAAACATTGCTTTGCCTGTTGCCCCCTCCACGTGAACTTAATAGATGCCACCTGTGGCAATAGCCTCAGGCTGCCTTATTATAGAGACAGCCCTGAGGGCTTGTTTACACCAAATCTACAACTAATTCACAAAAAGATTATTTACTGAACAGAGAAAAAAACATACTGCATAATACTGTCAGAAATCTGGAAATGTATCCAGAAAGCATTTGCAATTTCTCCCGATTTACATTCTTAAGCATGATGTCTTGTGCCATGAGAACTTTAACATTCTAAGTGAAAACCAGTATTGTGCACAGTTGCTCAGTCCCTGTTGTCAAATGGTGGCTCCATGTCTCCCCCAGCCATCCAAAACCAAACAGTGTGGCTCTTAATAATTTAATCAGGGCAGGGCCCTCCTTACCACCTTGTCTTAAATTGTATTGTGACTGTAATGTCTTCCTTATATTGTAAAGCGCTGTGCAAACTATTGGCGCTATATAAATCCTGTATAATAATAATAATAATAATAATAATAATAATAATAATCAGCATTACAGTAAATCATAGTGGTCACATGCAGGCTGAAATTTTATTTAGAAAATAAATGCAGATGCCACTGCAACCTGAAGATGGCAGCGTGCTTCTATTTAATATTGTAACTGTCAGAAACAAGTATGGTATAAAAAAATGTTGTTATGTTGTTTTTTTTGTAAAATTATGCAAAAAAATATTTAGGTAGGCAAATCAGTCATAAGGGTATTGTAAAGATAACCAATATACACTGAATATATATAGTATATACCCAAATTCACACTCATTTCACGTTCCCAATATGTATGGAGGCCAAAAATTGGGTCTAGCCCTATAAAGTAGGAGCTGTTCCAATATAAGAACGATTATTGTTACAGAAGCAGTTTTTTTCACTGTCACGCTGTTTAGTAAAAGGTAACTTTTTTTTCTTTTCTTTTTTAGGCTCACTGATTTACTTTTGTATACATCTGTTGTGAAAATTTGTTAGCTTTTTTGTGATGGTAAAATTAAATCAGATAGATATTTACCTTGCTATCTGGCTCAAGGATTCCATAACATTCACTCCAGATTGTGCACTGCATTCTGAAAACAACAACTGGTATTCCTAATGTGAAGAAAAGAGTTTTTGTTATATATGTATACATAGGTTTAGTGGAGTAAATACTCTATCTATAGTTAAATACTCTAAAGCAGCGGTCGCCAACCAGTGGTCAGTTAGATAATTTTGGTGGTCCCCGGGCCCCTCTGATGCCATGCAGGCTGGGCCGTCATTAAAGCGGCACGGAGGCTCCGGGGCTGTCTCTCACTGACTCAAGCAGCGGCTATCACAAGGAATGCACGGCTCTCAGTACAGTGCGGGCTCTGCAGGAGGCGGGGCATCTCGCCAGTACCCAGACTGAGCAGGCTGCGGGGCATAGAAAAAGTGGGCAGAAGCCAGGTAATAGTGGCTCAGTGTGGGGGAAGGGGAGGCACGGGGGTGGAGTATATTAGTGGTCCGCGGGATTTAAAATTATGAATTAGTGGTCCATGAGGTCCATGAGGTCCGAATGATTGGCGACCGCTGCTCTAAAGCACACACTAGAAAGCATGATTGTATCCTCTTTTGAACAGATTTAAACAAGTGATAAAGCATAAAAACTATATAAAAAAGAGTTTACAACTAAAAATTTAAATCAAAACTTCACAGCTCACTAGAACTTTTTTAGATGCTTCATAATGCTTTAAAAGGTCAAATATAAAGCTGGCCATAGACCTATAGATTATGTGCAGATTTTCTATGGTCAAATGAAAAAGCGCAACATATTCCCCCATCTACGCTAAACTGTGTAAATGGAGCAATCTCGACTGGGCCGAGCTTCAGTATCTTGCTAGTCGGCCCCACTGGCTCTCAAAATACCTGAAAAATGCCTGCATCCAATCAGGTTGTTCAGGTATTTTGGTGGGGCCGACCAGCAAGATACTGAATCTTGGCCCAGTGGGATATTCCTCCATCCACACAGTTTAGCATACATGGTGGAATCTGTTGCAGTTTTTCTATCTGACCAAAGAATATCTGCAGATAACCTGTATGGCCAGCTTTAGGCTGGGTTGACACCAGCGCATGGCGTTTGCCACGCATGCCCATTGATTTCAGTGGGTTCATATACGCGTGACAAACGCGGCAAAAAGGCTTGTATAGTAGTTTGAGCGAGACGTGTTCCAGGTTTTTTGCTTCCGTGTTTGAGCATAACCTCGCATCTTGCTGGCCGCGTTTGGGGTGCTATTAGAAATTAATGGCACCATAGGAGCGTTCTGCTGCATTTCCACGAATGCATGCCGGACACACAAAAACATGCGCTTTGGCGCGTGTTCACAGAGCAGCCAGGTGTGAATGGGGCCTAAAGAAGTAATATAGTCAGCAAAGCAAATTGGTGCGGCAGCCAAAATATTTTATGTAAACTCAGCATTCTGGATATTGATTCATTTTTAAAAAATACATGCTGTTATTTAAATAATTCTCCTCTTACACAGGATATTCCCTGATAGGCACTTATTTAAATATATTCACTTTGTGTGTACCAAATGCCTTTGCAAACACAGATAATGCCTTGTAAAAAAGTGATGACATCATCCCTGTTTTGCAGCTGTGGGAGGAACCCAGCGGGTCTACTGCCTGCAAGAAAACTAGATGCAAGACCAGTTACCCTGCACAAGGAGGAAGAGCCACAGTGGCAGGTCTTAATAAAGGAAGATCCTGCACAGAGGCAAAGTTTGACACTGGATTACTGCACAGATCTGGAAAAAATACACAAAATTCAAATAAGAATACACATGCCTCTGGTATTTAGACAATAGTTGTCTTCTTTGTTTTAGTAACATTTTATACATGGTGAACTGAGATTTGCCTTCAATTCCAAAAACTGGTATGTTAAACAATTAAACGGCAGTCAAAATATACTGTATAATGCTACTGCAAAATATGTACATACTTGAGCCACCTTATTTGCATCTTCAAATGTCACCTTTCTTTCTGAGTCACAGTCTGCTTTGTTGCCAATAAGTAGAATAACAATATCATCAACAACATTTGCCTGTTTGGAAAAGGTGACAAGACAGTAGTCTGTAAATCTCAAGTAACTTAAAGTTTAACAACAGCCCCCCACCAGTCTTATACTCAAATGTCCCCATTTAGTGAGATATCATCCACGAAGCAGCAGAGCTGCTTGTCAAAATCTTCTGAACATGCACCAAAACCTTCCATTCAGTCCTATGGGGGAGGGGGACGACGACTCCAAGCTTATGCAAAGTAAGAACTCACCATAGGTTTGAATGAAGAGTGCACATTATACATGTGTGTGCACAACTCAGAAGGTTTTGGAAAAATGTAATATTATTAAAGCACATTAGTAGGCAACAATTAAAATCAATTAGTGACTTGAAACTGTTATCCAAGAAAATCTACTCTACTTTTCTTATGTGTGTTGTACAAATACCAAATCCAATACACCTAATATTCATGTGCAAGGCTTCTCACTAGTCCACTCGCTTCGATCACTGGACACTGTCAGGGTTTCTTACCCTTCCTTGACCACTTGAGCTGCAGGTTCAGCTTCTGTGCAGTGTTCCCGACACTGAGTGTTGCTACTAGGCGCCCTCTTATGACCAAACCCGTAAACATCATCATTCTGTGATCACTCCGGGCAACTTCTCGTCTCTCAGTGATGATGTGACTCCAGTGCACTATATAATCATCAGTCTTTTCACTTGGTTTCTGCACTTGCGTTTGTTTAGACTTACCAAATACTCTCTGCTTGTTCCTGTGCTCCATTTATGACCCTGGCTGTGTCTACTGATCTCCTGGTTCCAGACTCCAGCTATTGTACTTGTTCATAGTGATCTCTGTGTTCCGAGACTTGGCTCTGCTGACTACCTGCTTTGGCTTCTGACCTCTGGCTTGGCTCTAACTACGTCTTGGATGTACCTATTGTTTTGCTATTTTGTTTCTTGTCACTTTCAATAAACTCCTTTATTTTTTAACCTTCACTTTTAATTTCCGTCTGGTTTCTTGGTTCCCTGACAGTCACATAATTCTGTGCTGATCAACTTTCCTCTCCTATTCAAGTCTGTGTGGTTGAAATTGCACAAGGCCCAGAGAGAGCAGTGCATAAAATTCAGTATAACTTGCCCTGCATTTTCACAGGCTAAGATTTAGGACTATCGACAAAATAATAATAATAATAAAATAATAATATATAATAATACTGGTAACTGCAGATGTTTAACTGGTAGGCTGTATTCTCTTACCTCTGCCTGCTTAATGGCTGCAACACAAACTCCTCCGGTTCCTGCCCTCCGCTCCTCTTCTGGGTTCAATGAGCATCATTCAACCTGTTGTTTTTTTAGCCCAGAGCATCAAGGCTCCACCCTCTGCCTTGGACGCACAGGAGGAATGCTGCAAAGTGGCCTCACTTTATTACATGGTGGTGCTTTTTACAGCATTTAGAATTTGCTCAATGCCAAAGATAATATAGGGCTAAAAGGACCTGGAAAGTTATTGAACCCAGCTGAGGACACCTGGAAAAGCTAAATATAAATTTTTTTGTTTGGTTGTTTGTCATGGGTGCCTGTGCTCCATTGTGGAGGGACAAAAGTGAGGGGCAGGATGCAAGGCCGGAGCTGAGTTCTAAATGCAAAATGTTTATGTTTGAATGGAGATAACTTTTCAAATAAGTATAAAGTACCTAGCTAGAACTCTTGTACTAAAAAGTCTGCCTGTATTTTGTCTCTTTAGTACAGGGGTGCCCACAATTTTTTGTGTTGAGATCTACTTTTCAAATGACGAGCTTCATGAGATCTACCAACGAAAAAAAAACCTCCCTCGCTCTCTCTCCTGGCTGTCTCTCCTCACTCTCATGGCTGTCTCTCCTGGCTGTCTCTCCTCTCTCTTTCCTGGCTGTCTCTCCTCTCTCTCTTTCCTGGCTGTCTCTCCTCTCTCTCTTTCCTGGCTGTCTCTCCTCTCTCTCCTGTCTGTCTCTCCCCACTCTCTTTGTTGGCTGTCTCTCCTTGCTCATCCTCCTGGCTGTCTCTGCTCTCTCTCTTTCCTGGCTGTCTCTCCTTGCTCATCCTCCTGGCTGTCTCTGCTCTCTCTCTTTCCTGGCTGTCTCTCCTTGCTCATCCTCCTGGCTGTCTCTGCTCTCTCTCCTGGCTGTCATTCCTCGTTTTCTCTAGTGGCTGTCATTCCTCGTTTTCTCTCCTGACTGTCTCTCCTCTCTCTCATTCCTGGCTGTCTCTCCTTGCTCTATCTCCTGTCTGTCTCTCCCCACTCTCTCCTGGCTCACCTTGCTGTATTTTGCAAACAGTGCAGTGCAACAGGCTGTATAAACTAATATTAATTGATGTAATACATTGCACTTCAACCACCAGTATCCACCAGAAAGGTGTCAGGGAGCTTGGCTCAGCAGACTCAGGCTAATAGGTAATCATGTGTGCACAGCTAAATAAATATACCAAAATGGAATAAACTGGCCGCCATTCACACTCTTCATGATCTACCAGCATGAGCTTTGAGCGCTACTGGTAGATCACAATCTACCTAATGGCACCCCTGCTCTAGTACATTTGGGCCTAGTCTCGTTCATTATAGTTACCCTGTTGCTGGCCAGTTTTACACTGCTGTATCATATGTAGTCTCTAATGGGAGTCTTATAGAAATTCACCAGCAGAAGGATAATTTTGCATCAGGAAGGGACAACCTCAGCGAATCACTGACCATTTTCAGTCCACTGGCCAAAGTCTGATAAACATGTGTAGCTGCTAAAAGTACCTAGAACTACTGCAGTGGATCAAAATAAGGGGCCACTGTATGTAAGCCAAGCTAATTGTAAAAAAATATATATATATTTTCACAGCCAAATATGCCCTGCCAGCCTTCACTGCTACTGAGACTGTCAGCAAAAAAAAAGTACTGTTTCATAACACCAAGTATAGCTTTAAGGCATCCTCCAAGCATGTTATTTAAATGATTTGACTATTTTCAATGCTGGCCTTGAAGAGACCTTCTCCCCGCTGTCCAGCAGGTTTTTTTTTTTTATTTGCACTGGTACATGGTACATTGTGCATTGGTACATACTTGGCCATGGACCACCATGGCAATGCCCAGATTCCCATGCTTTCCTTGGCAATACCATGTCTATTAGCTCTAAAATGGCCAGAATTTTCAAACAGGATTCACCCTCCTAGATTTTGGTGGGATTTACCGCTAGGTTCCAGTTCACAGATTTTCAAACAGGATTTGCTGCACCCTCAGCAAATGGAACCCAGACACTTGTCCCTATCTAACAAAAAATGTAAGCTAAAACCCGGCTTTCCCCCCAGCGGTGTCTGGCTCCGTGCTGGGCTGATGGAATAGAACTAAACATCGTCGCCTGATCTCAGCTCTGAGAGACCACCCTGTTGGTGTCAGTGCGGCTTCCGGACATTGGTTGGTGGAGGGGCCGTTTCGCTCCTTTATCTCCTCCTTTCCATCTCCGGATTGCTTTAGTAAGGCCCCTACGGCCTTCGAATCCCTCCTCTTAGCCTCCTCACCCCCGATGCACTATGTTTCCCTTATTTACTCTATTCTTTCCTCTGCGTCCTCCCCCAGTGTACCGGCCTACACCTCAGTGTGGGAGCGGGAGCTAGGGGCCCCCGTGACGGACGCAGAGTGGGAGAAATCATTTGCGCTCACCCATTCCCTCTCCATTGCCAGCAAAGCCCATGAAAAGAATCTGAAAATCCTGATGCCCAGTTTCCAGATTCACCGCCTTTACCCCGCCGTCTCCGACTCATGCTGGCGCTGTAACAATTCCGTAGGTTGGGGCAGCACAGTGGCGTAGTGGTTAGCAATTCTGCCTTACAGAACTGGGGGTCCCCAGTTCAAATCCCAGCCAGGTCACTATCTGCAAGGAGTTTGAATGTTCTCCCTGTGCTTGCGTGGGTTTCCTCCGGGTACTCCTGTTTCCTCCCACACTCCAAAGACATGCTGGTAGGTTAATTGGCCCACTATGTATGCATGTGAGATAGGGACCTTAGATTGTAAGCTCTTTGAGGGTAGGGACTGATGTGAATGTGCAACTATGTAAATTGTCGGCACTATATAAATACCTGTAATAAATAATAAAATAAATAAATATCACACATATTTGGTGGAGCTGCCTTCTCATCCAGGAGTTCTGGCGGGAGGTGTTGAAGGTTTAGCTCAGAGTGACGGGTATTGAAATAGCTAATGACCCTAAGATACTATTGCTCTCGATGCTACCTGGGTCTCTGAAGTCAGCAGAGAGAGGCCTCCTGCGACACTTTCTCACGGCTGCCAGGACGGTCAACCCACGCAATTGGCGAACGTCGGTGACCCTCATCCTGGTTGAGTGGGTGGTAGAGTTAGATCATATCGCGGACCTGGAGAGCCTTTTGGCCAAGGAGCGCAAAGCTGGACATGTATATGTGCACACTTGGTCTACCTGGCTCACCTTTCAGGAGTCGGCTGGCTTTGCGCAGACTGTGTCCCCCTGAGCTCGTGACCTATTGATTTGGAGGGGTTCC